CAACAATCTATAGCTTTTATTTTTTTTACCAAAATTCAACAGTTCGTTATTGACTAGAAAGATACATTTAGCACCAACTGTATAAAATGCTAAAAATTTTCACGATTTTTTTCTCTCAAAACAATAGCTTAGTTAGTCTATTTTCTTTTAAGAATAAAAATGCTCCTTTATCAGCTAGCTGTCTGTAGATAATTTTATGTGTTCAACAAAAGGTTATTTTCTTTCTAGCAATTTCATTTATTGCGTGACGGTATAATGTTTTACAGTTTGATAAAAATTTTAAAAGCAGCAAATTGTGACCAAAAATAATAGAGGCCATTCCAGTTAAAGAGAAGAGAGGTAAATATATTTTAATACATATGGAAATGTATTAAGCAATAGGTAATGCAATGAAGTGAGGCTAAGACCACAAAAATGTCCAAAAGTCCCTAAACATTGCATAGGATATGATAATCTACTAATTAAATTTCCAATAACAACCTGTACTTTCAAAAATGGGTGCCGATTTCAAAAGAAATTGGAAACAGAAAATAAATTAACCGGCTTGTAAACTTTAGCAATTCCTCTTTTTAAGTTCGAATTTAAATTTTAACCATTCACTGTTGATGAAAATAAAAATTTTCATCAACTAACTGGAAAAATAAAAATCTAGAAAAATGACAGAGATTATGTCGTGAAGCCTGCAAAATGTAGTCTAATTTATCAAACAGTTTAGGAAGTAATTGAGCTAATTCTCATCGCTGTCATATAGAGAGACAGTATACTTAACTTTAACCAAGTCAATTAAATAAATTTCATATTTATTTAAAGATTAAGAATTGACTTCCGTGTCATTCTACGACTACATAAATTTTGAGATTTATCCACTTCAAATAAATGAAAAGTTAAATTCTTGGCAAAATTACCAAGCATGACTAGTATATATGGAATGTTTAATATTAAACGTTAATCTTTTCATTCGTTTTTAAAAACTTATCCTCATTTTCTCCTGTTGGATAGTTATGGAAATATGTCAGATGGTTTGTCATTTACCAGACAAATGAGATAACAGTAAGTATACCATTCAAATTCTAAAAAAATTTCATTTTATTGGATAGGTTCAGATGTTTTATAAATCAGCATCCAGTTCTAAAAATACAGGTTTCACAATCAATTCGTGTTTAGGTCAAATTAGAATTCTAAAGATGTTTGAAAAAATTCTCGGGTTACCGAGTTCACATGGCGAAGGGACACAGCACGACGCAAAAGACAAGTCACCAAATATGACTAGAGTTCCATTAACCAGTTCGTCTTCTTCCAATAAATTAGAGAACAATATAATTAAATACATAATACGATAAGACATACAATAACTGCTTTTATAAATCTGTGCCGAGATTTCCTTTAGTTCGTAAAGTAAATCTCGGAATTCAATATCAATAAATTCAATCGTACTCTTCATAAATAGCAAACAGTTTATACGAGCAAAAAATGACTATTAATAATTTAAATAACTCCTACACTTTAAATACTTTTTTTTTTTCTGCGACGAACAGAAAATTCTACACGAATAAAAGCAAACACGATAAACAGCACAAAAACTATCCTAAAGACGTTGAAATAGGCTACTCAAAAGGTCAAAATATCTAAGTGCCGACCAAAAATTCACAAATTGCTTACATCTGCTCGTTTGTTTTTGGTTTTTTCATGATGTTTCTTACTACTGTATTCAAAATATTCAGGAATGGTAATGTCTACTTGGATAATAGCAGCAACATAGTCAAGAATTGGAATGTTGTTTTCAAAAACACACACAATTAACAGGTATTTTGAATACCGTTCTCAACAGATCATGGATAGATATACGTTATATATAAAGAGAAGAGATATAAGTGAAATACAGTATCATGTTGTAAAATATTAAAGCCGATTACTATTATTAACCAGAATGGCCGGCAATATAAGTGAAAAATATAGGAAGAATAGTTACATCAAACAGCGCTAATACATAGGTGAGATTCACAAGATATAAATTCAAGTTGGATATAATAATCAAACAAATAATATCTTCACCGTTTTCTAAGATCTACGGGCGAGAAATACAGTTACTCAAACAAATCTTATCAGTGTTCATAAACGTTGGGCGTCAGTTATAACAATTGTGTTCAACAAATCTTGCTTGGAGACAAGCCCAACTTTTTTTTTATTTTATTCCAAAACGTCTACGCAGAAAGTGTGTATATCCACCGGTTTTGTTTTTTTTAAAGTAGTTGCAAGGGATGATTTATCTTGAAATGCACATGTTTTGCAAAAATATAGCATTTACACAAGCTACTTTATTAGAAAATAGTATCAATACAAGCCAATGTTATTTTATCCTTATGCATTCTAGTATGAATGTTTTTTTTTCATGTTTTGATGGAAGTGTGAGTATTGGACAGACTAGTTTATGAAGAAATATTTTTAATCGTACTATTAATAGTTATAAAAGTTTTGAACACTTAATATTTTTTTTTAAATGAAACCCAGTTTTATTTAAAGGAAAAGAATCTAATATACTCATTTCATTTATAAGCCAACAACTTTATGGTAACCTAAAATCATTGCGCAATGTAACGTTATGCATCAAATAACGGAACGTTTCCTGTAACAGTATGGCTCTCTAAAATATTTTAATGACCCTTTATGAAGCAACAATAAGCCGATGAGAAACTAAAAAGATAATTTAAAAAGACCAACCTCTTGCTTATGAAACTTTTGAAAGTTACAGACTTCTTTTCGACACAATTCAGGTCAAACGAAACAAACAGCTAAGAAATTCAAATCCTCCACTTATGAAATTATTAAAAACACCTTAATATGATTTTCGAGATAATCAGGCACTAGGCAGTTATTTGGCGCCTTTATACCCGACTACATATATCTTAAATAAATCTCTTTGGCGCGCCCCAATATCCACGCCAAATTATGAGATACATTTCCCTAATTAAACATTAACAGAGCAATTTATTTAAAATTACTTAAAATATCAACACCAAGATGCGACTATCTTTAATAAAAGTTAGCAAAAATTAAGGTAGTTAAGATTAGCATGGAATATTGGAGCATTAAGGTTTAGTCAATATATTCTCATCTTTGCATGTAGAGTATAAAAGCGTCTTACTTAATAACAATTTATTGGGTCATAACGTCACAAATAGGTAATTCTGGATTTCATAAATGTATTGCACCTTTGTTTCAAATGAATACGCAAGCACCAAAATTTCTAAGAAATGTGACCACAACAGGTGAATGGTTAGTTTAACCGCTTATAACAGTTTTGTTGCTGCTATTGTTGATAACGAACGAGTACAATTAAAATACAACTATGCTTCTTAGACAATTATTGCTCAATACCGACACAGAAATTTTATTTCAGTACGGGGGGACATCACAAAAAGGTCAACACATTCGGAAACACATTGAGCATTTATAAAGTATTGCTTCTGCCATGAGCTTAACAATCTGGAGTTAATTTGGTCACCTTAGTTTTGCAAGAAGCTAACGGATACAACTTCTGACGTTAAAAGCAACACAGGCTTATATATATATTTTAATTCCACACAATTGGGCTGATTCAAAATAATTGAGGTATACCGAACAGTTATTTAAATGCTTTGTTTTGACCTAGCTTTTCAGGAAAAATTTTTTAATATCACCATCTTGCAAATCGCTTTATAGATTACGCTAATGATAAATGCAATATTGCGTTAAGCAATTTTCTGCCATAGGCTATCCTAATAATCAGAATAAAAGGCTATAAACCCCCTGGACTATCAATATAGCAATAGTGTGCTTGCGTACACAATTTGTTAAAACCGTCAAAAGAATTAATATTTAGCTCCTTTTATCAAAAATTTCTATCTTCAAACTACGTCCACTATATATATGTACAAAGTGTGACCACAAACTTCATTCAGTAGCTGACTTTCAAGAAATAGCTTTATTCAAAAAAAATCACGTCATTTGTATTAAAACACGCTTATATTTAGCTAATATATCCACAGACACATGACGTGGACAATATACACATATATAGGGCAGGCCAGCGTGGAAGATCCGTTGTGGAGGCAATAGTGGTTGACATCCGTTTATTTATGACAACCTGAATAAATCTCACAATTTATTATTCCGTTAATTATTTAGGAATAAAATGCGTATTTTATTTTCAAGTTTAAAAGTTGCACTACCAACAAGGTGTTCTAGGACTTGTTTATAAAAATATACTTCTCTAATGGAAGTGTCTTTTGTGATTACGGCTTAAAATTGGCGTGTATAGTTGTATATAATCCCGCAATTCATTCACTGATAATTTAGACAAATTAGCGCAACAGCACCGCCGACACGCTCATCTAATTTTGATTGGTTTTCCAAATGGTTTAAAATTTTGGAAAGGGTTGGCTTAAGTTAAACTTGGGCTCAGTTTGTGTAACCAGGCTCTTCTCTAGTGACGTCAGCACACCCTCTTCACCACAGAAGGGTCCACTGGACATAAAATCCAGATTTATATTTTCATTATTGATCAAAATACATTTCTCTTTAAAATCTAATTATTTTCCGATGGGAGGGAACATGCACATTTGTTTTACAGCTTGCGCAACTCCAGTCTTATGTCCAATTGTGACCGATGAATATGTGGAAGAGGACAAGCAATCTTGCAACCCTGGATTTTAAATAACTAGAGCCCTCGTAGAATTCAATATTCGATTAACCGATAAAAATTTAGAAAAGCTAGTTCGTCTGAATGCTTACAACATGAAAATTTTTGTCAATGTCAAATCATACACATGCAAAATTAACAGCTTTGACCATTGATCTAATTTTGTTAAGTGGAAATTAAAAAGTATGGTTAAAAAGACCAGCCACAAAGCAGCAATTACTTCAGGTCATAAAATGTGATTAGTGGCATGCAAGCTTCCGGAGAACTGGTGCAAACGCGAAGCTTTAGTTTGATATTTCCATGCAAGAAACCTCGACAGACATACAAAAAAACAATTTTATTCGCTTATAACAAAATGTTTCACAAAGCATACAAAAAAGGAAAAGTGTCACAAATAAGGAAAAATAAAAGAATACGTGCTTACGAAAGCGTGACTAAACTTAGAATACGCAAAAGAAAGGATAATGAAAAACATTATGCAAAAGAACAATTAACACGATAATCAAACACTTAGGTACGAAGAAAAAGATATCAATGAAATCTACTCAAGCAAATATCCACAATAATTTCTAATAAGCTAACAGATTTGGCAAAATACTAGTTGGCAAATCTAGCAATATAAATAGCGGTATATATTTTACATATATGTATATCAACAGACATTTAACACACTAAAAAATTAAGTTAAAATGGTATGTTTTTAGCCATAACATGTCAATGCTCCTAAAAGGAAGTGTGCGGCACCTAACTTAACTGAACTGACCCGACTAGAACCTGCTTTTTGAACACATTCACTGAACTGCAAGCTTTCAGGTACAGTTGAAAGTAGATACATATTAAGTAGCACAGTAATAATCAAGTAGAGGCAAGAAATTCGAATCAATCTATCAGTGCCTTCACACATCTAACAAAAGGAATAATACCTGCGACTAATTTTTTAACTTTAAAAAGTTCCCTTTTAAATATTGTTCGCACCCTTATATTCAAATCACAAGTTTCTTTTTGGTATATTTCTTATTCATAATTACATATTTCAATGTAAATCCAAACGTTAAATTTTGTATCATAATTTTAAATAGTTAACAAGTATATAAATCGAGACTTGACTAGTTTCCTGGCATCACCAATTGAGCAAAGTACAGTTGTGGTGCTGTGGTAAAAATCTGGAACAGGCACCAAACATAGCATATAGTTTCAAGACTAGATATCTTTAATATCACTGAAATTCTAGATCATTTCACAGTCCTTTATAAAGAAAAGACACGACTAGTGCCATAGGTCAATGACTAGACAATGGCAAGTCAATGACTAGAAAGTTGCATGAGACGATGACTAGAACGAACTTCCATTCTCTTCAAATATCAGTAAGCTTCACAACGTCACTTTGCCGATTGGTGATGCCGATCATATCGGAGTATAAGTCCGGTCAGATATTTTTCCCCAACACTGGCGAAGTCATTGTCGGAGCATATATATACCGATTAGGGCTGATAAAAAGTCTTAGTCCCTAATATCAGTACAATATTCTCTAAATATTACAATTAGAAGCAAAAAATGGGAAAAAAGAAAATTTTGGAATCTCCGATATCAGACCAATGAAGGGGGAAAACAATCACTGTCGCGTTGGGAAAAAACAATGTTCTCTTTAGGTCTTGCATTTGTTGGTCTTGAAGGATACTTGAAGCACTCTGTTGCCGAGAGTATATCCATTGAGGCTTTGAATAGCAACAAGAGCTTCGTCGTAATTTGTCATGGTAACAAATCCGAAGCCTTTGCATTTGTTGGTTTGAAGATCTCTGATCACCTTAACGGATTGAACAGCTCCAAAAGGACCAAATAACTGCCACAGAAGATTCTCTTCAGTGTCCGGCGCCAAATTGTAGACAAAGATACACCATCCAGAGCCACTCATGGCATTTCCAGCAAGTAACGGGTTTGCCAAAAGATCGCCAGCCAAAGGAGAGTACCTGCTGTTGGTAGTGATAAAGAACAGACTATGAAGTAACAGATAACATAATTAAACAAGACATTAAAAATATTTAAGAAAAGAAAACATTGATTTTTTTGTTAACTTTTAAACGACCTAGAAATTTTTTTAGACCTTAGGGTACTTGCTCCTGATCTTTATTTCTCGGTAAAATTTGATATAACTATCGTGACTATACGAGTATTATCATGCAATAAACTTTTTAATTATCTAAACAATATCTTAAATTTTTAGCTTGTTAAATTTTATGGTTAAAAAGCATAGATGATTTAGAATGTTAAGGGAATAGATAGAATATAAAATATTTAGAACTTAATATTAAAATTTTTGATTACACTAAGTTCAATTTAAAGCACACGGTTGTTAAACAAAATCCTTTCAAGTTGTCATCATCGAAAAAAATGAGACTTTCAATTTGAAATTGCTCACCTAAGATTAGTTTTAAAATCACGAATTTTTTTAATTGTGAAGTGGATATTAAGGGATTTTCAAAGGAAAGATGTTAAGAAATCAATGGTAAATATGTGTGACAATTATTTTAAGCCTTAAGAGTAAATTCGTAATTCTAAGCATAGAATTGTGACTATTAATTGCAAATATTAGAAAATATATAACGCAATTTAGGGTCATATTATGCATGATATTGTAAGAAAGTGTAAGGAAGATAGATGGTAGGTAATTATGTAGTTTGAATTATGTATTTCTTTGCGTGAAGTAACTTTAAAGCTCTTTTATTAAACCGAAAATAGTTTTTTAAACATTACGCCAATAGAAATTAATGTATTGAACCTATTGATCTATAATGCATAACGGCCAGTGTTTTTCTTTAGAAGGAAAAAAATTAGTAAAAAATAAGCGACCAACCCTTAAAAACGGTACCTTTTTACTCATATTACATTTAAATAGCTTACTGTTTAAATAATAATTAAACATTGGTAAAAGGCTCTGTGTTTATAGGTTTAATTCTGATTACTATTAAATATTTTCTTTGTTAGGACTAATTTTAACTGGTTAAATTTTATTAAGTTTCTCTTTCTTTTTTAAAGGGAAGTATATTAATGAATTTAAGCGATTTTAAATTTCAAAATTTTCAAAATGAATGAATTTTTTAAAATCTACATCTTTATATGTTCCTTTTTTCATAATTTTCATTTTAAATATGAAAAAGCTATCAAATTGCTTAAATTTATTATTTTTTTTAAGATCTTTTTTTGAAAAAAAATTATATTCAGAGATAGTCTTTTAGAGTGCCTTTATTTTTTAGAAACTACTAATTTTTCTCTTGTTTTGATAATGTGTGATAATTACTTTTTCTTTGGTCAAGCTTGCTTATCTTAATCAAAAGAAATCATAAAATTGCTATTTGGCTAACAGAAATTTGTAATACACATTTAACTTTCTTAAATATATTGCAATAATTTTTTCAATAACTAGAACTTCACTGCACGTAACTTATCAAACAATATTAAACAATTTTAATATACTGTATTCAAATTGAAAATAAAACTTAAACATCTGATAAAAATTTTTTTATGCCATTTGTTTCTTTGATAATTCCTATGATTTTATCAAATTCAAATTTGTAATTACAAGTGCATTACAATACTCCTTTTAAAATATTTAAATTCACCAGACTTTAATATAACTTATTTCGAGCTTAAGCTCAAAATGTATATTCTTGCTTGATTTGTGCTGCTGTTACAAAACTTAACTTAAATGGTGTTTAGGCAAGTGTTTTTACTATTTTTAAGACAGTTTTAAAAACTTAAGTCTGAGACTAATAAAGTTTACTTCTAAATATTTACAGACTCAAGCGAGCAATGCTGTGATAATTTAAGATTTAAACGCGTTCAAGCATTTATAAAACAATTAAACCAGATGCCATACTTCAAAATTTATCAATGGAATAGAAAAATATAGTAAAAGAATGTCAAATATAATAGGAAATATGCATAGAAGTTGCAGATTTCAGTATAAAGTGAGTACAATACACCGGCGTAATTTGCATTGCTAATACGCATTTAAGAAAATGTACAGGGAGAGGGATATTTCGATTTTCTTCCGTAACCACTTAATGGCCAGTTATAAAAAGTGGTCCATATACGAAAAACTAAGAAAAAAGTGTAAGTTCATAATTGTTGAAACTAAATGGATATTTCAGTTTCGTACCACTTCGCTTTTCAAGTAGCACTATGCTTCAATCCTAATTCAAAATACGAACATTTTCATTATTAATGCATTACGGAGGACAGAACTATCTTGATTTGCAAAAAATCTTACTATTGTAACACTAGTGCAACTATTTTTTTTAAAAGAATAAATTAAAGACTTGTAAATGTCTTCATTTGTTCCTCACGGAACAAATTGTTTAATGAAATATTGGCTGGCATTTTAAAAAGATTTAACCTTCGAATTATAATTACAGTTTTCAGAAAGCTAAGACAGATTTATTGTTTTAGTACGTTCATTTTTCAAGAGTCAGGGGTCTGTCCAGACATTTTGTAAAAGGTCCGGTTTTTGTAAAATTGTGAAAAAATTATGTGAATGTAAAATAAGCGTTAAGTCGCATTCTTTCAACCAGGGTGCCGCTTTTATGAATTTGTGCTAATTGGGTCCGGTTACTGCAAAAAAACTTTTTCAAGGAGTTTTATAAAAAAATTAAATTTTCAAATATAAACAGCAATTGCTGCTTCAAAATTAGAGATGCAACCTACAAATATTTGGTATTTAGCCTATACTGCTGAACGCAGAAATTTCATTTCGGACGAATAAAGGAAGAAGCGTCTGCGAAGACAAAACTTAATTCGTTTACATCTTTCTTGTTTTCGCCCCTGGGAAGGGTTTATTAGATTAAAATATTTTGTGAAGGGTCCGTTAAAGGAACCAAATTTCTTCTAAACAGACCCCTGAGTGTTAAGTATTTTTTTAAAGATACGGGCAGGTAAATCGTTTATCAATACCACAATTTTTGCCATACCCAGTTGCATTAATATGGAATTTTTGATGTACTTCTTTCAAGCATGCACACAAGCTAGGTCCAGAATAAAAAGTTAATTTAGGGTTAATTAGCAACTGAATTTTAAGGAAAAGGCTATCAGACAGACAGTGAAATGTATTAGAAATAAACGATAAATATCCCAACAGATAAGAGGCGGCAAATTATCAGTTCCTTGAGAACAAACACTTCGGTCAATATGCTTTTATAATGTTTCGAACTTTCAATGACTTAATTAACTTTGAGATTAACTTTTTTTACAAGCTTTTTCTAAAAGGAAACAATTAAATGAAGCACTTTTGCAATTGTGTTAAACTGAGAAAATTTTTTACTGCAAGGACTGTCTGCATTGAGATATGTTGTAGCTCTTAATTTATTTGACAATCGATAAATTTAAGGAAAAAAATTCTAATCTGCAAAAATTCAAATGCGGTATAAAAACTAAATAAATGTCTGACGATTTGAAAACGTTTTTTGAAGATAAATTTCAGAAGAAAAAAAGATTTCAAACTCAAATGCTTATTACTTTTGGACAGAGAAGGTACAGAATGAATTAAACCACAATTGAAGTACTTAGGAAGCTTAGGAAGGAATTATTTAGGGACTTCAGAAAAATATGGGTGTGATTCGAATCTTAAGGCATATCCAGACATTCAATTTAGAAGCATTATTAGTCCATTTTATAAAACTGCATATTCTTTAAATGCATTAATAAAACTTTAAAACTAAGAGACAAACTAGCAGAAATTTGAGTTTTAAAGTAGTCAAAAGTGAAGCAGTTTTATGTTCTTCCACAACTTCCAAAACTAAGAGCGAATCAAACATTTTTGCAACAATTTAATAAGTATAAATTCAGAAAAGTAATTTATTTTTTGAATTAATATTCATTTTAATATAGCTTCATATCCAACTAATTTGCTCGATTTGGCGAGTCATGATTTCATAATACTGAATACCACGTACAGTGCGAAAAATAAAAACTGACCACCCTTAATAACTTTTGATCTAATAATCGGATCTTCACGTTCTAGGACTCATTCTTAATGTACCGAAAGGGTGACCTCAAATATGCTAATTAATGAGTGCAGACGATATTCTAAATTACGAAATCAGACTAAAAAACGTACTCTCTGAATAAACATACCTTTTTTTGTGGCGGGTTAGAATTTTTGAACTTCAAATATAGTGTGTAGCCGCGCAATCTGGGAAACATGGTCCCAATAGTTTGCTCAGGAAAGAGGTTCAAATTTTAGACACTTTAATGTTATTTTAATTTTTGCGTATTTCGCAATATCTCGAGAACTTTTAAAGTGATTTGAAAGTTTTTTGCACATAAGTACAAAATTCATTTATCCAAAAAGAATTGCATGAAAAAATTATTCTTTAACAAACATTTACTCTATTTTATTTAATATTAGTCGAAATTTTTTTAAATAAGACATGCAATTTTTTATATTATTTTCAAAAACGTAAACATTATGTAGCAAACTACAAAATTTGACCGAAATCTGTTAAATAGTTCCTGAAAAGTCGAAGCTTTCAAATAAAACTATTTTGAAAATAGATTTATCAGAAACTATTCGATTGATTTCATTAAAATTTTTTACTTAGCTAAAAAACTCAAAATGTTTTAGACTAATATTAAAATATATATGTACTAAAAATTAATTTTCGCATGGAATTATCTTTGGATAAATGAATTTTATACTTGTGTGCAAAAATAATTAATTTCGCGTCTCCAGCAAGTTCTAGAGATGTAGCGAAATACGCAAAAAGTAATATTAACATTAAGATTTCTAAACTTCAAGACCGCTCTCCCGACCAAACTATTGGGGCCATATTTCCCAGATTGTGGCTACACCCTAAATCTAAATCAGTCGGAAAAAAAGGTATATTAATTCAGAGAAAGTACGCTCTTTCGTTCGATTTCGTAATTTAAAATATAGTCTGCACTAATTAGCATATTTGAGATCACTCCCGCGAACCATTGAGAATGAGTCCTAGAACGCTAAGATACGATCATTAGATATAATGTTATTTAGAGTGGTCCGTTTTTTATTTTGTGCATTGTAGCCACGGATTTTTATTACTATAAATATAATTCTAGCAAGCCTTGCAATTCAAAAGAAAAATAAATAGGATATTCTTGGAAAGGTTACAATATATTAAAAAGAGTAAACGACAAACTAAAAAAAAAGTACAAAAAATACTTAATTCTTAAAGGAAAATTTTAAAAAATAAAATATAGCAAATTAAATTTATAAGATCTCAGAAACAAACTCAAAACTATTTCTCTGATTATTTTCATAGGAATCCATTATTTTACATTTATCCTTAAGACAAATAGAAAACAGTAAATTTGAAACTAAGAAACCTCTGATGAGATTTGTTGCTGCATTTTACTGAAAAAGTAAGCCTATGATTCTAAAGTTCACCATTAAAGTTTGATTAAAATTTTGAGTTCTTTAAAACGACCGTAACAAAATCTTTAGGTAAGGTTATATGTCTGAAACATTCATGTAATTAGTGGACGGTCCCTAAGTTCGAAACAATGAATTCTGTGGTGTATTGCATTAATTAAAATAAAGATGTTAGAAAAAAATACAAATCTATTTAAAAAAAATTTGTGTTTGAAGAAAATAGGAAGTTCTGAAAACTCACAAAATATCATGACATGTTTTTTTTTCTCAATGAGTTAAACTACTGTACCTAAAAAGTATTCTAGCATCACCAACTGGCTACACATTTTAATCGAACAGCTCACTAAGAGCTACTTACTTTTTGTGCACTTAATCTTTCTAAATATTAGAAAAAATATTTAATTTTTTTCAGTGTTCAGAATTTTTTTCCCAAAAAGTATACATTATTTGAAAACATAAAATAAAAACATCTAAATGAGGCTATAAAATAAGCGAAAACTTAACCCGCTATGAGATAAGCTTCGTACATCAAACAATTTGGCACAAAATAAAACTGATTTCAAAATTGTTTTACAATATTACAAAAATAAGAGAGGGTTAAGTATTCACCAGGTTAAACAAGAGGGTACATACACACCGAAAAATATATAATGAGGTGGAAAGAAGAGTACGTGGAAAAAATTTTAATGCAAAAAACTTTGCCGATAAGTTAGTTGAAACTTAACATTTCTAATTTAGTTCCAGAAATGCTTTTTTAAAATGTAATTCTTATTGTATTTTTAAACCGCTTGACCTCAAATGTAAATAGCTTTTTGGTCACAGAAAGTGGGTATTACCGTAGATAACGAAACAAACTTTTGTTTAAAATCACAAAAGAAACATGGTTTCATGTGAATTTCATTTAATTATACTTCATATTGAAGATGTCTTATCAGATATCAAATCTAAACTTTTCAATATTTTTAAGGCAGTTAGATAGCAATTTGAAAATTCACCGTTTAACATTTTAGGTTGCATGCAATAGAGTTTAATACATAGAACTATATAAATATAGGAGTATTTCAAGGTATGGACCAACTTTGTATTTAATGTGTTATATTAGATATGAGCAATCTACGCTCCAATGATTATTTTTAACAGTTAATAAATACTTTGCGTGTCACTCGCCTCTGATGCACGCACGTCTAACAGCAAAACAATCGATAAACAACTTGAATATAAAATATTAAGCTGCGCTAGTTCACAAAGGGCTTTGACAGCCTCAAAGGACCTAGAGCCTAGGCCAAAGGACCTAGAAATACTGGTGATAAAACTAAACGAATATTGCTGGGAAAAAAGAAAAGCTTCAACTTTCACTCAATTATCACCACTCAAGTGATCCTAAACAAAACTTAGAAAATTTGTTCTTTCGGAACGTAAAATTTATATCCAATTTATAATTTTGTTAAATACAAATTCAATTTGAAATATTTTTTTTAGAAAAACTGGTATTAGCAATCAAGATTTATGAAAAATCTCGGAAAGATTGCCTTGAATTATATTTCCTAATAAAATAAAAAAATTCACGAAGAGTTGAAAAAATATCGGAAAAAATAACTAATTTGAAGTTACTAAAAGCTTTCGCTGTATGTTCTCAACATTTAAAAATTAAAATAGAAATACAATAGATTCCACATTGAGCCATATTATCGGCACCTTGAACAGTTTGATTTTTGAAATCTGTTGCAATTTTGCTGCAATCTTAGACGTAAAATTTGTAACTTGATTATACAGTAGTATGAATTCACTTTGAATGGAAACAAGTTCGATCATGCTACCGTTCAAAGTGAACCATACTATCGCGTTACCAAATTAAGGCAGCAAATGATTCAAACTGGTGGAAAATTTTAGTAACCACGAAATTAATTTTCATTGAAGGTTTTTATTAGATATAAGTTATTTTTTTCAGCCTTCCACCTCTTTTTATATATTCTTCCAATGATAATTTATTCGGTAGTAGGTACCCTACCTGGAGATTGGCGACAGAGGTATGTACCTGAAGCGGTTCGCTGGATGGTGGATTGGCCCTGGGAATCGTCTCTGTGGTGAAAGATAGGCTGCCAGTGGAGTGATGGCCTTTGCATTGTTGCTAGGATTGTTGGCGAACTTGACAGTGATTGGTTCCGATGCTCCATCGGGAATGGTGTTGTGTAGGTGCTTGATGGCACGCTCTGCTTCAATGCGTTGATCAAAACGAACAAATCCAACACCTTTAGAGAGACCTGGAAAAGGTGGTAGCCAGGATTGGAAAGGAATAGTTTGGTTTAAATAACAGTTCCCCCTTTATGATATCCCAGCTTTTATTGCTTGTTGATTGATTGTCCGAAAAAGCCATGCCAAAATTTTGATAGGTTATTTAAGCTTAAAATTTTCTACAATGTGGTTACAAATAAAATCGCCCTTTTTAGATCAACGTAGATGGGAAATAGTATCAATTAAAATTTTGACCACCAGGTGAGAAAAGGGAGCTCATAAAGTGGAAAAAAAAACAATTTGGGAAAAACCTTTTACGAAATCGTCGTAAGATTAATTAATATTACATTTCTGTCAAACGAATGTTTAAAATGTGTATAAGTTAGTTCAATCGGACCAAGAAACTTAATCTAATGCAGCATCTTATACTCAAAAGCAGCTTTTATCTTACTTGCTGTACACAATTTACATTTTTCGGTACATTACAGTCCAACATGAAATAAATCGAATTTTAAACAAGTTTCTCATTTCCTTTTTTCCCTTGGTCCACATTAAGTGTATACCAAATTTCAACGACATTAGCCTAACAGAATTAATTTTATCTAACCATGTTAACATTTCTTACAACTATACTTTACTTATATTGCGAAATCTAAGACTACACTCTGCTGATTTGGTATGTATGTTGTATTATCATTTTGACAGATGGCATTGGATAGTTAGTTATACCATTGCATATAAAAAAATTAGTTCCCTCTGACAATTTTATGTTTATTTAAAACTAACCTTTCTAGTTAAAACTACTTCTTCCCTTAAAATTAATTTATATAGACAATGTTTTTAAAAATTTATTGCAAAATTTACATTTGTTTCACAGCCTATTAAAAGTTTAAAATTTTCGAATTTCAACCGTCAACGCATCGCGTTTAGACTGGCAGATCAACGCTAGTCGCTTCATTTGACCATAAGAATTAGGTCCACAAAAAGTATAAACAATTAGAAAAATTTATTTTAGCTCTTACTTTTACTCCATACTCTAAATAAATTTTATTTCTTTTATTTAAGCATATTAATTTGAAAATAATAACTAGAGATAAATTTATTTAAATAAACCAATTAATTTATCTGAATTTCCTGGCTATGTTCAAAACACAAAGTATTCTCAAACATAAATAACAGCTGTACAATATAGACTAGCAATGAAAGTTTATATATGTTTATACCAGACATGTCAAACAAATTGATGCCAAACAAATTGAAGACCTACCAAACAAATTGAAGATAAATTTTCTTTAACACTAAGTTTACGTAGAGATTAAATTTTGGAACACGGTTTAGCTCATAAGACTTTATAAATAAAAAATCATTTCAAATTAATTTGGTGATTTATAATTACAATACATTAATAAAAAATAAACCATAATGTAAAATGGTATAATAACATAATGGAAAAAAAGGTTTGTAACCATACACGGTCAATAACCTATAAAAATTTTGAAACAAGACCTGATATTATTAGTTTACAAAAAATATGACAGAAAAAATTGTTATACATTCCCATACGGAGAGCATAACAGGAGTCATACGATTTTCAGGTGACGTAGCAGCTTGTGAGGCCCGGTTTTTTTTTTATTTAACAATTACAATGTCAATCCTTATTGTAAAAAAATTCTGGGGACGTTATTTCAAACATAGTTCAAAATGTTGAAGAAAATGAACCAAACTTTTAACGCACGTTTGAAAAATAGACTACCTTAAAATACGCGTTACATCGTTTAATTCAAATTTGAAACAACTACTCAGAATACTGTAACATTCTAAAGCATAAATCAAACTGATACCTTTCTCAAAAGTAAAGTAAAAGTTCGAGGATTTCAAAAATTTCGGTCTGTCGTTAAGCATCAAAAGATTTCTAGTTTTGTGCAGTTAGAGCCATACCATTTCAAACGCTTTATGCTTAGTTAAACGTGCATTTAGAGCCTTATCTATTTTCTTAAACGAGCTTATTGAGCCATGTTCCAGCAGTGAAGCCACCAGCAATTTGGTTCTGGAAGATTCTAGTTTTGACATGCCTGGCTTCCACAATAAAACAAAAATGCACTTTTACAATACAATTACACATAAAGTAAATAAAATCATGAATAAAATTAAACAAGTGCAATCAAGGCTGTGGTGTTAAATCCTTAGAGAGTTAAGTTAACCGAAAAAATAAAATACATTCCTCAATTTCAAGTGATTTTAAGAAGCAGCAAGCTTTGTAAAGAAATCAATGGCTTTATTAATTAAAAACATAGTTAAGTTATCTGAAATCACATGTTTATTTTGATTATAGTTTTTAAACGCGTTAAAATGGTGCTTTAAAAACTTGTTTCAGGCTAAAAATAAGGTGCAATTTTTCAGACTAGTATGAAATAAAAACATTTCAAAAGACAACTTTTTACGGGTCTGCATGAAAAAGTAAAATATTGCGTGTAATTTATAAAAATTCAGTTTACATAGTCTCTGCTAATTTTCCAGGCATTGTGTTCATTTTTATATAAAGTTTCTTAAAATGTGTTGTAAGAATTTAGTCTAAAACTTTTGAAAGAAAGATGAAAAGTCTGGCTACCGATTAATAAATCCACTAACATCATGAAATGTAAGACATTCTTGCCACACACGTTAAGACAAACTTTATAAAATCTACATAATACCTGGAAAATTATCAGAGACTATAAACATGCCAACAAAATTCATGCAATATTCTATATAATACTTTCTTGTGCAGACCTATAGCAAAGTTGCTCTTAAAATTTTTTTAATTATTAGTTCACTAAAGCAAAAATGCAAATATAAATATTTAATTTATTGCAGTTCTCTAAAGCAAAAACTTTCAAAAAATGAGAAAGAACTGTTTCAGAGAAGCCGTAAGCATAAAGATAAGAGAAAAACTACGCCAAACCTTTAAAGGGACTGTATAACAATTAAAATGCTATTATGAAACATTGCAACAAAGTGCAAAAATATTAATTAGGTAAAACGAAATTTTTAAATTGAAACAGAAGATAAGTACCTTCATAGCTTTCTATAAATTTAGTTTCCCATACTTTTAGAATACATTGTAGTGCCATTTAGGAATAAGTTAAACAAGTTGGGTGGGTCAACGGCTCATAAATATATATGGGGAAATGAGCGTAGCAGGAACTGCTTTCTAGCTACGACTGGTACTTTGATTCAGCTGGGTACTATTTGCCCGCAATTGAAGGAATCCAATTCAAAAGTTTTACCCATGCGGGCAATTGAAACAGCTGATTAACAACACACATAGTACTAGCAATATAGGAAGTTACTGTAGCGTTGTCACGTGCTTAAATGAAGCAGTGCTACATAATTTGTAGAGCATTATTAATCTACTAAAATGTTTAGTAGGCGTTTGACGCTAAACCCATTCAATTTCCAAAACAGTTTATGAACTGTGAGAGAACTTTTCTTGGTTTACCGTATTTTGAATATACAAATAACTCACGAATAGTAGAGGAAAAAATAGCGGTTGGACAAACGAATTCGCACAAATAACCTTGATAGAGAGTGGAGAGGTGTACGTAGCCAGTAAAGTCAAGCACCAATTGGGACTGACTTAGTATTAAAAATGCTAGTCAAAGGGCTGCAGCGTTTGATAGGATGAGCTTCACAAGCCGTACTCCAAAATAGTTATAACTTTTTATCCCAAATTTAACAGGAGTTCAGTGTAATGTAACATAAAAATATTGATTTGAGATTTCTTGCCCATTTTATTAAAATCATTCTGTTCACAAAAATAATATGAGAAACTCTTTACGTTAATAGAGCTTGTTTTGGTATAGGTTAATTGGAATAACTTTAATATAGAAATGGATATTTCAAATAATTCAGACAAGCTGAAACTAAACAGATTACCAAGATTTTTATTTCACAACCAGTCAGAAAATATTGAACAGTGTTTGCTACGAAAATATCCCCTTTTCAAAGCTCACCAAGTTCTTAAATGAAATTGTAGTGAATATAAAATAGATTTAATTCTTATGGATTGGCGATAAGAAATAATGCTTAGCCTTCATTTCTAAATCGTAAGCCTTCAATTGGCGGAATATAAAACTCTTACTGTAAAAAAATTTCTTTTTTTGAACTTCATTCGTATACTTGACGGTTTAAAGAAAAAACTTTACTGTTTCACCCCAATCATAAACTGAATGAAACCTCCAGTTCAAATTCCAGTTTTTGCTTTTGTTTTACTTTCCATACGATAAATTTTTGTTTTCAAACTTTCTTTTATTATTCAGTAATTAATTTATGATTTTCAACATGGCATAAACAAAACCGATTCGGCTTTATCAAATTTATTTTCTACCCAGTTATTTTTCTTTATGTATATTTTTTCGTAAGTTGCGGAAGGAGCCAAGGTGGGCCACAATAGTTCAACATTTTTACACTTCAATAAGATTTTAATCGTAAAGCAAATAGTTTTGGACTTTAGTTCACCCGAGTCGCTGTAGTTCAGGACAGAGAGCTCGCATCTCAATGAGGCGACGCAGGTACGAATCCCAGCGATGGTTAGTCTAAACATTTTTAACCCGGCACTATACTGCTGACAAAATATCCATACCTAAGTGCGAGTACAGATTTGCTTATTCACTTTCACAGAAGAAAAATCCCGTTTGGTATGATAGTAAATTCTTTTGATTACAGAATTTCTTTGCAATTTTAAAAGAAAAAACTTGCTCTTGTAAGGTAAACTGTTGAAGGAACTGATTTACTTCGTAATTTATAAGGTTTTGCATAATCAAACCAGGTTTCAGTTTAAAACCGCAAATCTTAATGAATTTTTTGCTATGTTATATTTATGTTGCAGATTTGTTTCACTCTATGCGTTTTAATTTGATGCCAAAAATATACTTTTTAATGTTAACCCTTTCCGCCTGCTTGTTGTCAGAAGCCTATTCCACAGCAAAAATACTCGATTGTTACTTAATATCTTCCCTCCGCTGATATCTGCAAAATTACTAGGCAAAATTCATTCTTAATTACTTTAGATTTAAGAAACTTTTCCTAAAAATATTTACTCTTTTTTTTCAAAGCTATCACTTAAAACCTTCCATTAAGCTTTTTGAATTAGGATACAAAAAGAGGCAATGAGTAGAAAATTTGCGGAGACTAAAGGACTTCACTTTAGCATTTGATCGATGCAATTTATATTATTAATCAAAACTGCTAAGGACAGATGAAAGACTGGAGTCAAGTTTAACGTTATTTCAAAAAATAATTTCCCGGGTTGCAATCATACTTTCAAAAGATAGAATGAGCTAGTTCGTTAATCATTTATTTTGAAGTAATAAAGAAAAGCACTTTATGAAACAAATTTCAGATCATTAAAAAGAGGATATAACTAATATTTTGATTGGTAAGAAACCTTGTTACTCATCATATATGAAAGTTAAGTTAAATTGTGCTATCAGTCTTCAGAAAAATGATCTGACAATTAAAAACGCAAAAATAAAGGGTTAAGTATGTTTATTATACCGCGTGAAACTTTATAATAAAGACCATTTATAACACAGAGTCAATAATGATTTATCATAGGTTATTTGTTATAATAATTTGATTATAATAGGGCCATGATTTTTATGATAGAGAAATCATAAACACTAGTGGTCTGTGTCCTTTTTGTGAGAAATAAATTATTTTCTGAATCTAAGTAAAATTAGTAGCTTTAAGCAAGGATCCTGTTTGTGAAAGTGTAAAACTTAGATCCTGTTTTTGAGAGGGGGAAAAACCTGCTTTTAAGAAGTTTATTTCAAGTCAAGAACTATTGACTCGTCGACTTCGTTTTTCAAAGGAAGAATTTTGAGAAGGTTATTTTATGATGAAACATGGAGGAATCTTTTAATGGGCCTATATATATATTTCATAGAGACCAATCATATTTAAATTTCGCTGTAATTTGTAATGATTAGGCATATCGATGATACGCATATCGCAGTCCCAGTTGGTATTACAAAACTTTAGTTTTGTTTGGTAAATTTTTTTTAAAAATTTAAATAAACTAATGCTTCACCAATAGTAAAAGATGAAATATAACACTGGAGATGTTTAATATGATCTAAATACGTTAAGTCTTACGTGCAAGAAAGCGTTACGGGTAACCTTGGGCTCTGTAAATATTAATAGATGAGAAAGATACAAATTAGATTGGGCATTTACATAGAGAAGTAAAAGAAACTAGATTGAAACTTTTCTGAGCCTTTGCTTTGATTTGTGAAAACAAAAAAACTTCACGAAAATTTTTAAAGTGCTGTGAAAATTGTGCTCAAACAAAGACAGAACATGCATACATTGACAAATTTGTAGTCCATTCTGGGAACTGTCGAAGGGGGGGGGGGTGCAGACAAAATAATAAACGAAAAAAAAATTAACATCTAAATTATAAAAACATACAAAGAAAGGGACTAAAAACTTTACAAACCTGAGTTTTGCTGTGTCAGACCTAGGAAAAAATAAACCTTTTTTAATAATGTGGCATTAAACTAAAAAAATAAAAAACAATCATAAACTCAAAATAAAAAGTCATTCCAAATAATATTGACAGTTCCAAAAACTCAGTAAAAATAAAATTAAATAAAACTCCAAAAATAAAATTCAGGGTTAAGTAAAATAAAAATTGAATTTAATAAAATATTCAGGGTTGTCCAACTTGTCAGCAATTCCAGCCAGTGTGGTGTAATTCTATATTTCAAAACTCACGATATGCATTCTCAAAGTTTCCATTTCATCTAAGTACAATCTCTTAAGTTTATTTAATAGTAAAAACATTTAACACAACCTTGACTACAAATTTTATTCTTATCAAAGAAAAAAATATTTATATTTGTTAATAAAAGTAATATGAGTCATGAGCAATATGCTTTTGAGTCATTAAAATTGCTTGAAGATAGAAATAAAATTGTAAAAAAGTATATTTCTAAGCCATTGTAAAATTGAAACCAGAAATTTAAAAGATTTATTTATAGGGTTGATAATTGAATTTATAATTTTATTCTCTTATTTTAAATTTACTGCTTTACACTAATTCACTGTTTTATTCAAGTTGTATGCTTAACTTTTATTAAAAAAAAGATTTGAGAGATCTGATAGTTAAAAAAGCATTAGATTACTGTTAAGCTGATGCAAATTAATTTATGCTAGTAAATATCATACTACAGATTTATATTATTTTAGATCAGTTACAAAATGCTCTAAACTAATTCCCACGGCTCTGTTTTAGAATATAACCTAAATTTTAATAAATACAATCGAGTACAATACAATAGAGTAATTTGAAGCTCTGACACAGAGAATGTTAATTTCATATTTCAGCCACTGATGATGGTTATTTTTTATATTTCAATTGAGAACCATATCTGCTGCAGTTATGCTTTAATAGAAAAGATGCAGTAGAGGAGAAACAAGCAACTGATTACAGTATTCTATGGCTAAGGTTTATTGTAACAAATGTTTTTTTGCATCATTACAGATAATATTAACTGTCACGTGTTATCACTGATAAAGCAGTCTTTTTTTCAATATTCATGCTGAAAGTAGGTGGTAATTGTGTTTTGTTTGGTACCCAACATCCTACAGAAATTAATATAGTAGCAGTACTAGATGAATCTAGTACTAAGTATAAGATGATTGCTACACAAAAGGACAGATCAAATTTTCTCATCGATCACAACTGATGATCTTTTATGATCTCTTTTTATGGATAATCATACAGAATTTTTTGGGGGTGATAATTTCATGTAAATTGAAGAACTTGAATTACCTGTGATGTTGTCGCAAAGTATACGAGAAGTGATGATGCGTCCGAAAGGGGTGAAAAGCCCCTCTAAATCCTGTTGCGTCATGGACTTGGGGAGGCCACTTACATACAGGTTAGCTCCCTTAATTGCTTCGCTGCTTGGGCGTGCATACGAGACCTAGAAAAAATTTAAAGTTGATGTAGAACAATTATAGATTGAGTATTAAATTTTACGTTTTTAAAAGCAAAGTTTACAATACCATTGGGATAACAAATAGGGGGATTTTCGCATGTACGTAAAGTATACGGTAGCTTGAACACACTTGATCACAAGCCAAATTTAATAATTGCGTAAAAAATAATTTGGTTTATAGCTTATAGTTTTCCAAACGAAAATTGGTGGGTTAGTTCCAATTATGGATACTTTGTTTATTCAATTTAATTGTTTCCCAGCTTAAGTGTAAAAGAAATTGGCGTGTTAGCAGCTGAATCGTTGACGTCTAAAACGTCGGACTTCCTACGTTATCTGGTATTTACCAGCCTTTAAAACAATTAACAGCTTTATTTTCATTTTCTGTTCAACACAAAATTTAAACATTTAATTTACCTCAACTAAATTTTTAAAAAAAATCTGCATGGAATGGGAAATTCATCATTCGTGTGATTGCTATTAATTTTTCTTTTAAGAATTCTGATTTAAAATAAAGTATTCTGGTCTGTAAATATTGTACACCAGTGCTCTTTACTTATCGTACTTTATGCTGAAGTTACTTCAAAATTTTATAACTCATCAACACTAGTTTTAAATTGTTCTTACCAGAAATCGTTCTTAATTCTTTAAGTCATAACATATATTTTACGAAATTGTTTTTCGCGTAAATCATTTAACTAATCTAAATATAGAGGACGGTATAATAAATAACGAAGCTCGTTATTGTTCAAACACATTTTAGAACAAAATGTTACATAAAATAGGAAAGCCCAAGTTTTCCTTTATTATTATTTTAAAGCTCTAATGATAAAACTAAACAAAAAATGTAATGAGTCACAAATATCAACCATATTTATTTCTTCCTTAAAAAGAAATTAAATTGTGAAACGCATATGGGTAAAAAAGTCGAAATGGAATTTGTTGACTATTTTAAACGCTTTAGTCCTTATATACGAGGCACAAACCAAGCAAACTACGAAGAGTTTGAATGTTCGCAATAGAGGCTTTGCACGAAATAGGGAGTATGTTTTAAAATATTGAAATTATTTACTCCAACCGATAAAATATGAAAAAGTGGAATTTGAGCACTTTAAGCAAATGAAATTTTTCATGTTGAAAAGTTAATGTGAAAGAAAAAAAAACAGGCGCAATCCCCTACATAAGACTTGTCACTTGTTCAAAAATCAGCATGACTTGCAATCTATGTTCTGTTCGAAATATAAAGGGTATCTTTTGCTCCTGAAAGCTGTCGTTACCGTTTATTCCAAATTAAGGAATTTATGCTTAAAACGCAGTGTCAGAAATAATTAGTTCTTTTGTGAAAATGTGAAATTGCGGAGGTTCGTTTTTTTAAAAAAAAGGTGGTAAACAGAGCCACTGAGATAGATAATTGTTCAAGTTTCTCGTTAGCAGAAGAGACCCCGATAAAAAGATAATGAAGTAACTACTACTTACTTTAATGGTTTTATTTTGAAGTCTCAGTCCATTCAATGTATTGATAGCTTTCTCTGCATCCTCAGGGCGAACATAATTGACGAAGCCATACCCCAAACTTTGACCTAAAAATAAAAATATTTTTCTAAATCAATATACTTTAAGATTAAATGAGAGCTGTCAGTTTTGCAATTAGTCGATAAAAATTAAAGTGATATATGTATTATAGGGGGCTATTCTAGAAGTTAAAAAGGCCCGGCCTGTTCTTGAAATCTGAAAATCTCATTTGTTAAAAAGGTGAAAAAGTTGGAGAAAACCAAAAAGTCCTTCAAAGAGTTATATGAGTGACGACAAGTATGAGTTGACTTAATTTGACCAGTTTCAATTTTTGAAATCAGCTTTCGCGTTAAAATATTTGGTTATTAATAATGCTGTCCATCTTAACTGAACTACTTAACTATAAAATTTAACTACAGTTCTGTTCGATTTTTAAAATTTGCTTCAGTAAATTGAAGACTAACAAAGCAGCTAGTTTGGACTAATGATTTATGCAAAAGAAAGCAATTAAACAAAAAAAATTAAATAGTACGAGTTAATGTCAAAGCCGAGTATGGCTTATATTGAGCTAACCTTTATCAAATTAAAAGAGCTACCACGTAAGAAAATAAGAGCAACACAATAATTGAGGCTGTTTTGACTTTTAAATCTTATTAAAACTATTTTTAAACTAACTTAACAAAATTTTTTTACCGTTTTAGTAATTTTATATAGCATATAACTGTTAATTTATGTATTTCATGATAAATCATTCCCATTGAAGTAGTATTTTTATTACACATTTTTTATGTTAATTTAGGTCAAAAGTTAAAAATATTCTATTTAGCTTTTTAATAATTTATGGTTATGAAATACAACATGAAACACTGATGTCTTTTTTGCGTTAAAGGTAATATCTGCCAAACATTTTTCAAGTTATTTGCAGTTATTTAGATCTAAGAGAAACAGTAATTCTTCATTAAATTTTCTTTTATCGACAAAATAAACTATCGATATATTCTTGAATATATAAAATTTTCCAACACCTTTTTTTTGGATTTTATTTTTCAAATATAACTACTATAATTAACAGATTAGAAATTTAGATTTTTTATAATTCAAAATGCCAAAATATATTTTTTCTTGAAATAAAAGAGAAAGAAAAAATACATAAAAAGGGGACACCAGTGTCACATCTGCGACAAGGTTTAAACAGTTAGGAGCATATAAATTGTAAATAAAAATTTATGCGTACACGCGTACATTTTCCAAGTTTAAAATCAGATCTGCAATAACCTAAAATCATAAAAATAAATTATACATTTCCTTCTAGATACATTTAAAAATGACCAATACCCGGTCTTTCATATCTTGAGATACAAAACATCAAAAAATAAATTCAGTTTGGAGACTAGTTCAATTCTTCCTAATTGCTTATATGCGTTTAGTGAACCATGTTCATGATCATGGGAGCCATTTCCCGAAATAATGCAATTTTGAGAATGTGCCACAGTAAAGAGCGTTACAGATAATGCCGCAGGAGGCAACCAAATGGCCAAGTTTAACGGTTATTGTATATGACGACATCCAAAATGACACTGAGGAGTACCGTATTCGAATTATGACACAGTTTGAAATCATTAAGGGATATTCCCAGGAAGTAGTGTGCAGGAATTTCTCGGAAAAGCTTTAAGATAGGCTACATTCGAATTTAAAATAATATTCTCGATACATTTTAGAGCCTGTGGCGTTCTCAAAGTTAAAATAGTTAGATTTCTTTCGTAGCTGCTTTAATTCAAAAGGCGTAAATTTCTTTAAAATAAGTTTAAATTCAATTCTCTATAAGTCGCTCGGTTTGTGAACATTTAAATTGATAATATTCTTCAAAATTTTATTGAAAGAGCTGTTAAAATCTAATCTCTAAAAATTTTTTTAAACCTACATTTATATAATCTTGTTTAAAACGTCATAAACGAACTGCATATCAGTTGCTTATTTTGTAGACCTTTGTTCGTGTGTGTAAAGTAGACAAGAAATAATTTTAGCAATTCTGTCATTAAGTCATTCAAGAAAAACATTAAAAGTAATATCCTATTGACTCAAGCAAGTCCCAGATTTTATTGATATCAGACGTCTGTCCAGACATTTTGTGAAATGTCCGTTTTTGTAAAAATGTGAAAAAATTACACATAAATTGTGAATATAAAATAAAGTTTTTTGCAATAACCGGACCCTATTTGCACAAATTCATAAAAGCAGGACCTTGGTTGAAAGAATGAGACTTAACGTTTATTTCATATTCACAATTTTACAAAAACCGGACCTTTCACAAAACGTCTGAACAGACCCCTGATAACCCTTGCGCCGTATTTAACAGGCATTCACAGGATGCCCGTATGTGCGAGAGCTGTATTTAAAAGGCATTCATGCGATGCCCTGTGTGTAAGAGAGCTGTATTTAGCCGGCTTCAGTGTGATACCGTTTGATAACCAACCAAATCTGATTCTAAAAACCGCCGGCTAATATAACATTTACCAATTTTGGATTAATATTATTTAAACACATATCTCGAATGCGCAAAATATGTTTTGTAAGTGAGAAGGCATTTTTTCTACTGATTATAAATAGGTAGGAAGAACCGAAAAAGCATTGTTTATTGTACTAACGACAAAAGTAGATAAAAACTAATGTTGGTTTGTGTTGACCCCTGTTTTAAAATTTAAATCATACAGAATTAAATTTTTTTTTAAATTATCGCACATTGCATTTTTAAATAAAATACTAACAAATTCTTAAATTGTAAAGCAACAGTAAAATAAGAAAATCCGAACATCAGCTTACAGGTATGCGATGTGAGAGCATCGTTCAGTGGCGTCACTTCAATGGAGCGGGCTGCCGCAACTACAGGGATAAGTAAACAATAAACTTTATCAGCTTTTCTAAGCATTAAACATTGTTATGGACTAATCCTGGTTTTAACAATTATTTTAAGAGGGTCAGTACGTTTAATTTATTTCGACTCGTTCTAACATTTTTAAAGACATCAGGCGAGATTATAAGTTGTATATGAAAACTGTTTAATTATAAAAAAAAAAACAATTTCTAGTCATTCATAAATTCAAGGACGTAAAACAAAGTTTACACTTAAAAAACTGATTTTTTTGAACTGGGCTTATGTTTATATAAGATAAAGGTATAATATTTTCTTAATTATACCCTTAAAAATTATTTTATACAAAGCTGTAACTGCTCCTTATAATTTAAAATTAATTTAATATGGTCTGTATTCATAAATAAGCTAACATGATAAAAAAAATATAAGGATTTTGAATATACTGATACATATCTAACATGCAAAAGCGATGAGATTTAATATCTAAAATGTTATTTTTGTGATGCATACAAGAGAATGGTTTCCTTTCCAGGTTATCATTATGTATATCATACTTTAAAATTCTATTTATGTCATTATTGAGTAGTATACACTTTATAGCATTAGAAAAAAATGATTTTTGCAAAATATATTTTATCCATTGAATCAATACAAATTTTAATACAATAGTGAATGCTATGCATTTAATAGTAAATATTTGAGTTAGTTTTGATTAAGTAATAAAATATTTGTCATTTATTTTAATTGAGGTACAAGTTTAACGATATGCTTAACTTAATAAGGCATTTTAAAAAATATACATTTAAAATATTTCAAAAGAATTTTAAATATAAAATTTTATATAAAAATATCATAAAATTACAATTAACAAAAACATAATGAATATGTATGCGAAACTGTTTACACTAGTGTAAAACAGATTATCATAACTGGTAACAGAAAAGTTAGAAACTTTATCTTCAATAATTAAAATTACTCAACTAATTTAAAAAAAAAAATCTGGGAATGGGGAGTTTGGTCTATACTGCAAAACATGTTTTAAAGACTATGAATTAACCAAATCAACCTTTAATCCGCTAACATTAAATTGTATGCAGATAATTTTGTAGAAACGTAATGATACATACTTAGGAAGTTTGAAAATTCTAGGCTTGTTTATTTAAAGTAATACAGATTCAAATTTGATATTTAAATCATGATTGAAAACTTATAATTTATATTTGGTTACATCAAACTGAAAATTAAGATTTAAAAACAAATTTGGCTTTGTTTCATTATTTTTAAGCATTTTTGCTTAAATCATTAAAACCAGGATTTAAACCATTCAACCCTGTATATCGTAATTTTTAATGTACAATTCTTATGTTTTTGGATTAATAACAAAATTTAAATAGCACAATTTCCACATTATTTCAACATTCATTTCTAACATTTATTTTCATAATAGATTTAATGTTAAATTCCATTTCTTTTTCACTAGGAAAAAATTGAAATTTTAAATGGCATCAAAAATATATTTAAAAAAATACATTTCTTTTACTTTAGTCTTCTATTGGGATGAAGGTAAACCTAAAACATAGGTAAACCTAAAGATTAACGCCACACAACTATTTTGAGACTAGTATATTTAAAAAGAATTTTATTTTATCATTTGTTTTAGAATTCCATAAAGTCTTAAACAACGCACACTTAATAACTTATCACATCATTTCGATAAATGTTAACATTCCGATACAAAATAAAATTATATTCCTTCAGAAGAACTGCATTTCTGAATTAATCTGATTTTTTCCGGAAGAAAATCGAAAGCGTAGTGAGTGGGGGAAAAAAACACGAAACTGCAACCAAGCGAATTTTCCAATTCACATGAAGCATTAAAATAGTTAAAAATTATTCGGACGATTTACGATTCAAAAGTAGGCTAAGAAAATTAATCTACCCACATTAATATCAAACCGAATTTCCATGGGAACCATATTCAAGCGTTGACACAACCCTAAATCAAAACTTTATGAACGCGTTGGTAGACATGTATTCAGCAATAACCCCCATGACACAGTTTGAAATCATTANCCCCCCCCCCCCGCATATCATTTGAAAAAATCCCCTTCCAAAAACCGAAAGAAAAACTTAGGATACGCACTACCACGTTCATGTATTTACTATGTAACGATAGCTCCATGTTCGCACACCGTTTAACAAAGGAGATGGCTGCAGAGCCAGGGCCGATTTCCTTTTTCGCCCCCCCCTTCTAATGTCAGCTGTTCGCATGCGCCATCTGTTAGTATCGCACAATTTATCCTCTAAAATCGAGGAGCGCGCATACGCCACGCGCCCAGCAGCTGCATGCGAAAATGAAAAGGGGGATAAAAAAAAGCATGGGGAAATTAAGAGCCGTGAAGTATATAGATATCCCGAATAAAGTTTGTTTCTATGCTGATATACAGGGACAGGGTTTAAGGTAGAGTGGACGGGTAAAACGATCAAATAATTCAAACAGGAAGGAAATTGAAACAGAAATTTAGAATTTCATTGCCGATTGACCAGATTTTTTTTTTTTTGTTTCCAGGAAACAATAGTAAATGTTAGTAGTACCTACAATGGCTGGAATATTTTTTATTTTATTACTACTGCATTTGATATCAGTTAAAATTATAACTTAACAATATCATATTAAACACGAAAAAAAAAACTAAAATATTTTAATTTTAACAGTGAACACAACTTTGCGCTTTATATCTCAAATCACTTGTTTCTTCTCACTCAACGTCGGGCAGGTCTTGGAAATTAACGCCTACTTTTGAGCGCTTGAAACATGTCTGTTATTTCTAATCTGTATATTTTTGAAGCCATTTAAGTTTTTAATCAAGTAAGTAAACTCATAAGGCCAACTCTTAATTTTATTATACATGCAAATAATTTAGCCACCATCTTGTTAGTTTTAGAATAAAACTTTTTGTTAATTCTCATAATTAAAATTTTTAGTTAAAAATAAGCTTCTCATTTAACCAGTATCCTGCGATTAAAGTATTAATTTTTTAAAATTCAGATATATTTTTTAAAAGATTGATTTTTAATCATTTATTTTAAATCGAAGTTAAAATAGTACAATATTATCTGCCATAATTAATAAAAAAATTTAGTAGCGAGCACGTAAGTCTTTCTAAAGTAATGCTCAAACTTTTTATTTTATTTTGAACTAGCGCTTATATTATCACAGAAGAAAAAATCCAAGCAGAGCAATGCAAAGATAAGTCGTAAAAACTGATAGATGAACGTTTAGTAGCGGTTTTTAATGTAAGACTACCTAATTTTTCTCTCCATTCTTTGTAAACTTTAGAGATCATAGGTTATTTCTAAAATAAACTTAAATATTTTATGTTTTATCACGCTAAATAGATCCATTTTATGCAGTTTATATTACATTTGCATTATTAAAAGAGGCGTAAAGAGAAAAATCTAAATTTTTCCTTTCTGCTATAGCAAAATTAAATTTATAATTTACGCTTACAAAACATAATTATACTTACAGAACAATCTAAGATTAAAAATACTTGAAACATTCAATGACTTATCACTTTTTCTTTCAGAAAAAATATGGATAGTTCAATCAGCGCAGTGTTTCCCAAACTTATGACTTTTGTGTACCCTTTCTTAATTTTTTGTAGCGCTGTGCATCACTCATAAAAAAACTAATGTATTTTTTACTTTAAAAAAATTGCCCAAAAATTACAAATCACAACTAGCTGTTGACACCACTCATTATTAACTGTTAACTGCAAAAAATAGCCGATAGAAAAATACGCAATCTAAAATTTTCATGGTTAGAATTGTTTTTAATTAAAAAAATTTTGAAAATTTCGTTAGCTGCAAAATATTTCGCATAAGAACGAGTACCCCCGCTAAACTGTTCCCGTACCCCTGGGGGTACGCGTACCACACTTTGGGAAACACTGAATTAGCGTATCAAATGTTTTTAAATTTTTTTATATTTATTTGCCAGTTCAGATTATAAGTCTTTTTTAAACTTACAATGACGCTTGTTAAGTCAAAAAGTATCAAAGTAATAGTTTTAAAATACAAAATATAAACAAGCATAGCATATTAAGCTTTAAAAACGCACAGGACAATAAAAATATAAATTAGGGGTCTGTCCAGACATTTTGTGCAAGGTTCGTTTTAGTTAAATTGTGAAAAAATTGCTCATAATTTGAGAATATAAAATAAACGTTACGTCATATTCTTTCAACCAGGGTCCGCTTTTGTGAATTTGTGCAAATAGGGTCCGTTATTGCCAAAAAACTTTTTCAAGGAGTTTTTAATTTGTAAAGACATACAAGATTATGCTCAACACAGTAAAGTTATATTTTCAAAAATAAACAGCAATTGCTGCTACTAAATTAGAGATGCAACATACAAATATTTGGTATTTAGCCTATACTACTTAATGCAGAATATTATTTTGGACGAATTAAGAAAGAAGCGTCTGCCAAAGACAAAATTTCGTTCGCTTACATCTGACTTTCTCCCCCCCCCCCTTCCTGGGAAGGGTTTATTCGATTAACAAAATAATGAAGATAAAAAAAATATTACGAAGGGTCCGATTAAAACTGGTAAATGTTGCTTCACTAAACAAATGTTGCCATCAACTAATCTCTGAAGTCTAGTTTGTCTTCATGCGTTTTTAAAAAGCAAATATACAAAATGGCACTTAAAATGGCACCTTTCTTTAGAATTAGGTATAGCATAAATTTAATTAAAAGTTTTAAACTTGAATAACTTAAATTTAAAATCACGAAATTACACTAATTCACACCATTACACAAATGGATTTTTTTTTAACTATTCAATAGTAGACCAGTTAAGCACGCGAGAATACGCACAAGTTTAAACAGAAACGAAAAAATACAGAAAAAGCACCCAAACATTCATCCAATTCACTTGGAAAGCTAGCAGCATCAGGGGTCTGTCCAGACATTNCTGCATCAGCAAAATTAAATTTATAATT